AACATTTTTTTTAGACATAAGCAAAATCATTCCGCAGCATGCTTCCTCTCCATCAATCGACTTCCACAACCGTAGAACTCCGTAGAACCATCACGCCTCACCTGCAGCCAACGCCACGCACGCACGAGCGACGGGCGCCGCCATCGGCGCCATGGCCTCGCCCTCCGCTCGTGGGTGCCGCACCTCCGCGCCGCACCCGCGAGCGAAGGGCGAGCCCATGGCGCCGACGGCAGCGCCCTCGCCCAGCACCGGGCCGCAGGCCACGCGGCGGCAGTGCCCGTGGAACCCCCCGGCTGCCACGGGCACCCGGCGCTCGGCGCGGCGGCCGCGCCCCAGGCGCGGAGGCACGCCACGCGCCCGCTCCACGCAGCGACCGCGGGCCTTCGCGGCCGCGGCAACAGCCAGACAATCTTGCGGACGCCACGACAGTGGACACCCTAACAGTCCCATCATTGAATTTAGAATAAATGTGTTCTCAAAATGCTTCAGGCAAGTTTTTACACATGCTTTAAACATGTTTGAAACATGTTTTGGAATTCTGGAAATTAGGCAGCCTGCTTCCTCTCCATTAATCGACTTCCACAAAGATAACCACTCCTCGTGCGCTGGCCAGCGGAAAAAATCCGCGCAGTCTCCCCCTCCTCGCAGCGAGGATACATATTTCGGGGGGGCACGACCGCAGCCGCAGCTCTGCGACGTTCCGGCGCGGCGGCGACCCTGGCGCGAAGTTTCAAGGTTGACCGCCAGCTGCGGTGGAAACCAGAGCAGCTGGCATCGAGTGATACGCGCGCCTTCCCAGGCGAACGAAGGATAGCGATGGCGAAAAATTCCGAACCAGATTGAACAGGACTGAACGCCCTGGGCAAGGTGGACACGTGACACCCTTCGCAGGCGTACATGCAAGTTGGGCACAGCGATGGACACGTGCGAAGGAGAGTACAACGTTCGGGATATCACAAGACACCTGCGAAGAACAACGTCGGACCTACTCTCGTCGGGCACGGACACCTCGGGATCTCCAGAAGTCTGGCGAATCTAGTTGCCGCGTACACCGAGCGCCGCGACCCTTCCCAAGCGGCCTGGAGCGACCCGAAGGGGTGCTTGGGAGCGCCCTGGGACGAGCTGTTGGAGTCGTACCTCATCTCTCCGGAGAGGTCCCCGCGCACATTTGTTCCTCCAGCGGCGAGGTGGCAGCACCGTCGCCAGCACGAAGCCGGAGCGCGCTTGGCCGGATTCCAATGGCGCATCAGGCGGGTGGACTGGAAGAGGCAGTCGCGTGCAGAAAAAAGCGCCGAAGCGCAGCATGCACGTAGAAGACTGGCGAGCGGCCGTGCAAGGTGCAGATGGAGGAGACCGAGCGTCACCCGGCTGACACACGCACGCACGCACGCACGCACGCACGCACGCACGCACGCACGCACGCACGCACGCACGCACGTACCCACACCCCCACATACACACACACATACACACAGACACACACGCGCACACACCCGCACACACAAACTTTTGAGTCAGCGGCGCAGAGGGTCCTCAGACGCGGGCAATAGATGGAAGTGCTAACTGCGATCGAACAGAATCGAAAGAGAAAAAAAGAAACGTCAATCACTGACGTGCAGGGATGTGTCATGGGTGGGAAAGACTGCCATCCAGCGGGCTTGCAGCGGCCAGCAAGCCGAGCAGCCCGTCTGAGCGAGGTCGACTCGAGGCGAACCGAAGCGCGAGCAGTCAGGCGCTAATTGCCACTGAACCACCAACGTACACACACACACACACACACACACACACACACACACACACACACACGCGCGCGCGAGCACGCGCGCGCATAGTCACACAAATGTCCGAAAACATCCATCCCCGACCGCGGGCGCACCAGTTGAGAGTGCGCACGTCGTCTTGGCGCCGCCGACTGCTCATCCTGCCTCGCTGCCGCGCCCAGCCCTCGGGAGAGGGCGGCGGCAGAGCAGAGAGGTCTGAACGGCCCCGTCCCCGCAGCCAGGACGTAGGCCCAGTGGCTCACGTCGGCGGACACCCTGTAGTCGTCCGAAGCGAAAATCGGGGAGGATCCTGAGAGGCAACGGGACCGTGCGAGACACAGCCACCCCCACGGCGCTGGGGGGGGGGGGAACCTATATATATATAGAGAGAGAGAGAGAGAGAAGGAGAGAGAGAGAGAGAGAGAAAGAGAGAGAGAGAGAGAAAGAGAGAGAGAGAGAGAGAAAGAGAGAGAGAGAGAGAAACAGACAGAGAGAAAGGAACAGACAGACAGACAGACAGACAGACAGACAGACAGACAGGCAGGCAGGCAGACAGACAGACTTTTACCACACATCCTGAAGGGGTTCCTGTTTCCTGGAACAACCTCTCCTTCTCATTTTCCTCTCTCTCTCCCTCCTTCCCCTCTGCGATACCACCACTACTACGTCTACTACTACTACTACTACTACTACTACTACTACTACTACTACGACTACTACTACTACTACTACTACGACTA